AGCACACACACACACGCAAACCCATACACACATACGTAGACACACTCGCATACACAAATGCGCACAAACACACACACACACGCACGCTTATGCACACACATAAACTCATACAAACACACAAATATACACGCACCGACACACAGTCACCTGCACACAAACACACAGACACACACATACAAATACACACACACACACACACACATATATATCTCTTTCACCTGCACACACACAGACACACACACAAACACACACGCACACACACACACACACACACACACACACATTTATACATATCTCTTTCCCCCCCCCCCTCTATTCCCAACACGCACGCTAAAGACATACACTCTGTTCTTACTGTGGACAGATAAAGTTGAGGGGAAGCAAGGGATATTTATTTTGACGAGTCCCTCATTACTTTTCCCTACTCTTCAGATGAGGAGACAGATAAGCAGCCCTCTGTCTGCTCCCGTTGAGTCTCCTCGTGTTGACCCAGCGAACGCGAAGGTGGAAGACAAAAAGTCAGACTTGATCAAAATTCTAAAGAAATAAACAAACTTGTCGGAGAACCCCCCCTCCCACCCCCACCACAAACCTCCCTCCAAATAATAAGAGTAAAAGTGTGCTTCGGAGCTCTCTCTTTCTCTCTTTCTTTCTCTCTCTCTCTCTCTCTCTCTCTGAGTGTGTGTGTGTGTGTGTGTGTGTGTGTGTGTGTGTGTGTGTGTGTGTGTGTGTGTGTGTGTGTGTGTGTGTGTGTGTGTGTGTGACTTCTATTGCCGACTCTGTTCTCTCTTTCTCACGTAACTTTTGAACCTTCGATATTTTATCTTTCTTACTTTCTTTCTCCCTCCCTCTCTCTTCTTCCTCTTCCCCTCCCTCTCCCCTCCATCACCCGGCATTTGAACCCGAGGAAAGCCAAGACGACGTTGGAACGACAACATACTCTGTGGCTAAGAACTCAAGGGGCGTCATATCTCCCTTCCAAGTTCCTCCCCGGGCTGCAGACTGTCGTCCAGACCTACCGTCCACACATCTCTCGGCTGGTGATTGGAGGTGCCCACTGGTAGGTCCTACTTCTTTCCCACCCCTCTTTTGTTTCTGTCTGTATGACTTTTTCCTGCGGGAGGTGGGAGGGCGCCACTGATAGGTCCAACTTCTTTCCCTTCCCTTTGTTACATTGTTTTTGTCTCAATTACTTTTTCCGTGGGTGATTGGAGAATGTCTGATAGGTCCAACTTCTTTCCCTTCCCTTTGTTACATTGTTTTTGTCTCAATTACTTTTTCCGTGGGTGATTGGAGAATGTCTCTGATAGGTCCTATTTCTTTCCTTGAAAATACTCGGTGTAAGCTAGCAGCCTAATAATACGGAAAAATTACAGTCCGTCACAAACGAGCATGGAACCGAACTAAAACATCGGGTAAGATAAGACGTCGGTCTTAGATGGCTCTAGGAAAGATCTTTCGATACTATCACTTTTCTGTCGTTCCCACAATGATACGATTAGTAGACGGCCTCTTAATTCTGATTTGGTTAATTTACAAGTACATTAGAAGAGAGACAACCTTCTAGAATTGATCAGTGTAAAAGTATGTATCTTTTTATCCGATGGTTGAAAACATATACATTTTGTCAGTCTCATTTTCTAGACTTTATTAGATGTTTCAACTGGTTCGACTATACAACTTTGCCAATCTATGCAGTAATTCAACACTGACCAAAAGATAAAAAAGTAATAATTATGATACTGTGTTTTTTACTGGAGTTACAAAAACCTAAATAAAACTGATCCCGACCCCTACACCAAACAACAACGTCATACCGGTATTGTTATTACGAAAAAGCTAGGATCGTCATAGACCTACTCACGTATGAGATCTTTCAGTCATATTGTGACAGTTGGAGACGCCGCATCTTTTTTGACATCTCTCTGCCTCATTTGAGGCCTAAATATTATTTTTTTTTCTTCGTTTTTTATTTAAATGCTACGCTCACTTCTGTAAGAGAATATCTGTAAGCGAATCAGCGCAAAACATCAGGTAATACTTTATATACATGTATAAGGTGGCAGCAACAACAAAAAGTCCGTCTATATTTTCTCAATAATTTTTATATCAGTAACCAGCCCTGTTGACTGTTGAAAATTGACAGTTATGTGAGATACAATTTTGTTGGCACAAAGTGTATAGATTATAAAGCGCTATTAGAACTTGCTGCTGCTATTATTATTATTATTGTTATTATTATTGTTATATTATTATTATTATTATTATCATTGTTAATATTGTTATTGTTATTATTTATTTCTAATACCCTCATCATCATTATCATCATCATCGTCCAGTGCGACAGACATCGGCAATCATCGTTCTCCATTCATTCCTTTGCTCGGATGCTCTAAAAAAAGCTACATTTCCGTGATCATTCCCTGTTACCCATTTGTTTAGGTTCCCTAAATATGTTGTTCTGGGCCTACCCCTGCCTCGTTTGCCCTCAATTGTGCCAGTGAGAGCTAGATGTTAAAGACCCTTATGTCTATTCAGGTGTTCCAAAAACTGCATTTGTCGTTTCCTGATTGTTTTTAACATTGAGCGTCCCACGTGGGCTTCATCAAGCACTATCTCATTTGATTTCTTTTCCTTCCACGAAACTTTAACAGTCTCCTAAGAAACCACATTTCTGTTGTTTCTATTTTATTTTCACTGTCTTTAGTGATTGTCCATCATTCACAGCCGTATAGAAGGGTTGACCAAACAAAGCATTCAGAACTTTCTTTTTGATGTTCATGAAATGTTTCTATTTTTTTCAAGATTTGGCTCTTTTTATTGAACTAGCTTTAAGCCATTGTAATTCTCCGTTTTATTTCTGTGGAACATTTGGCATCAGATGTTATCATATAAAATCCCAGACATTTAAACTGTTGGACTTGTTTGATCTTTTCACCTTTGCTAATGAGGTTACAACTAGGATTTGCTGCTTTTTTTTTATATTACCATGCATTCTTTTTTCTTTACATTCAAATTCAACAATAATCCTTTACGTTCACCTTCTGTTACAACAGTATCTAGAAGCAATTGAAGGTCCTTTTCTGAACTGCTATTAAAACTGTGTCATCTGCATACCTGATGTTATTAATATTATCTCCATTTATTTTGAGACCTGGACATTCTTCTATATTTCTAAGGATTGTTTCATGTACATGTTAAAGAGGTCTGATGACATAACACATCCTTGCCTAATCTGCTTATATTATATATATTCAGTGTATTCTCCATTAATTTGTACTGCAGAGTTTTGGTCCCAGGGTCCCAGTACCAATTCCTAATAATTCTTAGATATTTTCCGTTTATGTCTAGCTTTTCCAGTATTTTAAATAGCTCATCATATCTAACTTTATCGAACACCTTTGAATAATCTATGAAGAAAATAAAAACAGATCTCCCTGTGCTTCAATAAATCTTTCCATTGACATTGTAACGGTGAATATAGCTCTAGCAGTTCTGGTGCCCATCATCAGTATCATCATCGTCGTCATCCTCATCATCATCATCATCATCATCATCATCATCATCCTCCTCCTCCTCCTCCTCCTCATCATCATTATTATTATTATTACTATTATTATTATCATTATTATTATTATTATTATTATTATCATAATTATTATTATTATTATTACTTTATTTGTTCCTTGATTCATTGGAGTGCTCTTCTTCATTCTTTCTATTTTTAAACCAACGTATTTCGTACGTGATAAGTTCAACCGAGGAGGCGCCGTTGATTCAATTAGTATCGTGCTACTGGTAGGCTATGATGTGGATAACATGGCTCGAATCCCCTATTATTTGACGTTGTGATCGGGTTTTTTGTGGAGTCTTCAAGCCTCTTCGATTCATTCTTTCAGTTGTATTGGAGATTGGCCTTAAATTGGTCACTTTGGTAGCTTAACAAAGTTGTAGGGCGGGGATGTTCAATTCAACACAAGTCATAAAGTAACAAAATAATGTATACTATAATTCAAGAAAACCAACAGGAGGCATAGGCTACATTGTGTTCTTACTTTGCCGCCACTGCTCAGAGAGTAAATTCTACAGTATCCACTGATCCAATCTAATATTTAAGAGCATTACGGTCGTATTACCGAGACAGACACCAGCAGGTTTACGAAGGATCGCGATAAATGATATTGCATATAATATTGCTCACCGCGTAACCCACTGAAGCCGAGGGTAAGACTCACATTCATAGCGATTATGGGGATTTTTCATTGGGTTTTTTTTTTTTTTGGGGGGGGGGGGGGGGGGGGCAAATTACTGTATGTATGATTCTTTACAATGTTTTATATTTATAGGTTCTAATAAAAGCTATTTTCGTCAAGGGTTAAGAAGGTGGAGAAGAAAGTCCTCATGACGAAAAAGGCGATTGAAGCGGCTTCCATTTAATTTATTTGGTATTTTGTATTGGCACTTAAGTGTCGCCGTTTGAATAGTAAAAAACATCTTTCAAAACAGAGTAACTAAGCCCTTGAAGGAAGGACACAACAGCTTGAGAGAGTGTAAATATATATGTGAGGCAGCGTGGTGAAATCAGGCTCTCGTCAAAATAATCAAAGTGAAGAAACTTGCATTTTCCGCAGGTTTGTGAATTTTTATCATTTTTTTGTATTTTGGCACAACACCTTTCATGCCCTTTAATGAACTCATTTCTGTGTGGATTTTTCTGAAAAGCTTTGATTAAATGCATAAAAAATATAAATCTTCAGTTACCACGGACTCTTAAGCTAAGAAAATAACTAATCTTTTCTCACTAATTTTACCTCTGAAAACAGGGGACCCCCACCTCCTTCTTTTGCAAATATCTCGACTTGTATTCAAGATAAACGGATATTTTTTACATCCAAATAAAGACAAGTGAACAAGCTTTAAGATGATACCAATAACTTTACATGCCCAAAAATTGACGAAAGCCTGATTCCACCACGCTGTCTCACATTTTGTATCCTCAGTTTTCTTCTAAAGACAACAGAGATGAGAAGAACACTTCCCCTCTCCTTTCACATCCTAGTCGGCATTGCAGTTGTTGTTGTCGCTGCTGCTGCTGATGACATGGAACTTCCGGAAAACCTGACGGACCTGGACTACGAGAACATCTCGATTTCGGATCTACTTATTGAAATAGGCAAGGCAATACCACAGCACATCCGTCAAAAAGGAACTATCTTCAATGACCCAAGCGGCTTCTCTTGCAACGGTTAGTACTTGTCGGACCTGAAAAAAACCCCAAATCAATCCCCCCTCC